TGATGACTGTGTAAATGAATGGGTACATTCCTACAGTTATTCATGGTAAAGAGAAACCAAGTATTTATACACGTTATAATATGGATGAAAACAGTACGCTGAGTGGAAAAAATGCCAGAAACAAAAGGCTACACACTGTATAATTCTATTTATATGAAACACTCAGAATAGGTAAATTCATAGAGCCAGAGAGAAGACTAATGCTATCCAGGTGCTGGAGAAAAGGGGAAATGAAGTGACAGCTTAGTGGTTACTGGGGTGATGAAAATGTGAAATTTGTTAGGGGTAATGGTTATCTAACATGGTGTATTTACTAAATAACACTAAGTGGCCCACAAAAATGGTTAATAGTTAATCTTGTTATATAAAATTTACTAAAAAATAAAGTTATTATATCATCTCAAAAAAAAAAAAAGACAGCCCAGAGCAAGCAGAAGGAAGGAAATAACCAAGATTACAGCAGCATTAAATGACATAGAAACTAAAAGCACAATTCTAAGGATCAATGAATCCAGGAGTCAGTTCATTGAGAAGATAAACAAAATAGACAAGCCTTTAAGTAGGCTCATGAAGAAAAGAAGGGAACAGACACAAATAAACACAATCAGAACTGAAAGAGGAGAGATTACAACTGATATCACAGAAATAGAAGGGATTGTTAGAAATCACTATGAAGAACTGTATGCCAAGAAATTTGAAAACCTAGGAGAAATGGACACATTTCTAGAAAAATACAATCTTCCAAAACTCAGTGAAAAAGAAGCAGAAAATCTAAATACACCAATAACAGCAAAAGAGATTGAAGCAGTAATCAAAAAACTCCCAGCACACAAAAGCCCTGGACCAGATGGGTTCACAGGAGAATTCTACGAAGCATTTAAGGAAGAGCTAACCCCTATTCTCCACAGACTGTTCCAAAAAATCCAGAAGGAATGGAAAAGTCCCAAATTCTTTTTATGAAGCCAGCACCATCTTAATTCTAAAACCAGATAGAGACACAACAAAGAAAGAAAACTTCAGGCCAATATCGCTGATGAACATAGATGCTAAAATCCTCAACAAAATATTGGCAAATCGCATCCAACAATATATCCAAAAGATCATACACCAAGACCAAGTGAGATTCATCCCAGGGATGCAAGGATGGTTCAGTATTCCCAAATCAGTAAATGTAATACATCACATAAACAAAAGCAAAGACAAAAACCACATGATCATATCAATAGATGCAGAAAAAGCTTTCGATAAGGTACAACACCCATTTATGATAAAAACACTCAGCAAAGTGGGAATACAGGGAGCATTTCTCAAAATAATAAAGGCCATATATGAGAGACCTACAGCCAATATCATACTCAATGGACAAAAACTAAAAGCTTTTCCACTAAGATCAGGAACAAGACAAGGTTGTCCACTTTCACCACTTCTATTCAATATAGTATTGGAAGTTTTAGCCACAGTGATCAGGCAAGAAAAGGAAATAAAAGGCATCCAAATAGGAAAGGAGGAAGCAAAACTGTCACTGTTTGCAGATGACATGATAGTGTACATGGAAAATCCTATAGACTCTACCCAAAAACTGCTCGAACTAATTAATGAGTTTGGCAAAACAGCTGGTTACAAAGTCAATATCCAGAAATCAAAGGCATTTTTGTATACCAACAGTGAGTCAGCAGAAGCAGAAATAAAGAAAAAAATCCCATTTGATATAGCAAAAAGAAAAATAAAATATCTGGGAATAAACCTAACTAAGGAGGTAAAAAACCTGTATGCAGAAAACTACACAGTCCTGAAGAACGAAATCAAGGAAGACCCAAACAAATGGAAACATATACCTTGTTCATGGATTGGAAGAATTAACATCATCAAAATGTCCATACTACCCAAAGCAATATACAGATTCAATGCAATACCTATTAAAGTACCAATGGCATATTTCACAGACATAGAACAAACACTTCAAAAATTTATATGGAACCATAAACGAGCCCGAATAGCAGCTGCTCTTTTGAGAAAGAATAGCAAAGTAGGGGGGATCACAATACCTGATATCAAACTGTATTACAAGGCCACTGGAATCAAAACAGCCTGGTACAGGCATAAAAACAGGCACATAGACCAATGGAACAGAACAGAGAGCCCAGAAATCAACCCAACTCTCTACAGTCAGTTAATATTTGACAAAGGGGGCAGTAACATAAAATGGAGTAAAGATAGCCTCTTTAACAAATGGTGTTGGGAGAACTGGACAGCTACGTGCAAAAAAATGAAACTTGAGCACAGACTTACACCATACACCAAAATAAATTCAAGGTGGATAAAAGACTTAAATGTAAGTCGTTACACCATTAAAGTCCTAGAGGAGAACATTGGCAAGAAAATCTCAGATATTTCACGCAGCAACTTCTTTACTGATATGTCCCCTAGAGCAAGGAATGTAAAGGAAAGAATAAATAAATGGGATCTCATCAAAATAAAAAGCTTCTGCATGGCTAAAGAAAACAGTATTAAATTAACAAGACAACCAACTGTATGGGAAAACATATTTGCCAATGATACCTCAGACAAAGGTTTAATCTCCAAAATATACAAACAACTTACACGACTCCACTCTAAGAAGACACCCAACCCAATTAAAAAATGGGAAAAGGACTTGAACAAACACTTCTCCAAGGAGGACATACAGAACATTCAGAGACACATGAAGAGATGCTCAATGTCATTAGCTATCAGAGAGATGCAAATTAAAACCACAATGAGATACCACTTTACACCAGTCAGGATGGCTATCATAAATAAAGCAACAAACAACAAATGTTGGAGAGGTTGTGGGGAAAAGGGGTCCTTAGTTCACTGTTGGTGGGATTGCAGACTGGTACAACCATTATGGAAAACAGTATGGAATTTTCTCAGAAAAATAAAAATGGACCTGCCTTTTGACCCAGCAATTCCACTGCTGGGATTATATCCTAAGAATCCTAAAACATCAATATCAAAGAAGCTATGCACCACAATGTTCATAGCAACACAATTTACAATAGCCAAGAGTTGGAAGCAACCTAGGTGCCCATCAGTAAATGAATGGATCCAAAAATGGTGGTACATATACACAATGGAATTCTATGCTGCAGAGAGAAAGAAGGAGCTACTACCTTTTGCAACAACATGGATGGAACTGGAAAGCATTATGCTGAGTGAAATAGGCCAGGTGCTGAAAGACAAATACCATATGATCTCACCTTTAACAGGAAGCTAAACAACAAAACAAACAAGCAAACAGAAAAAAAAAAACAAAGACACTGAAATAGAGAACAAGGGGATAGTGACCAGAGGGGAGAAGGAAGGGAAGTTAAGGGGAAAAAGGGGGAGGGATTTGGAGGAACAAATAGGAAGGACACAGGGACGAGAACTAAAGGGGGTGGAAATGGGAGGGAGGTGGGGAGCAAGGGGCGGGGGAAGCTGGGATGGGAAAAATAGACAAAAAACTGTACTTGAAAAATAACTAAATAAAATTAATTTAAAAACAACAAATATCCAAATCAATAAAGTTGTTGGTGAAAATGAAAAAAAATAGCATCCATTTAATTGCTTCTTCACTTCCTGCCATTTTAGTTTACAAAATGTTTCATATATAAAAAATGCTCTATTTTTATCCCTAGCCAGTATACTTCAGTTGGTTGGAGCATCATCCCATAACAGAAAGGTTGTATGTTCGATTCCCAGTCAGGACAAATATCTACATTGCTGGTTTAATCCCTGGGTTAGGGGCGTGCAGGGAGGCAACCAATAGAGTTTCTCTCTCACATCGATGTTTTCCTGTCTTCCTCTCTCCCTCCCCCTCTCTCTAAATGAAAAAATGTCCCCAGGTGAGGATTTAAAAAACGTTCTATGTTCAAATAGTGAGGGGAAACTGTATTGTATTATATGGAGTAGCCCTAATTATTAACGTCCTATTGCTACTCAAAATTTCAGTTGTCTCCAAAATGTTCCTATTATCTTTTTTAAAAATAAAGAAACTAACATCCTAGTACAACTGTACTGTTATAATATGTTTCAATTAAAATAAAAAGTGACACTTAAGATTAAAAAAAAAAGCTACAGGAAGAGAACCTAGCTGTTTTTTATCATCATTGAATAGCTGCAGCATATGTTGCTGATAGGCCCACCACATATGTACATAAAGTGACTGACTTTTCTGCAGTAGAATATTTCATGCTGCTGCATTCACTCCTGACTTGTGCTAAACTGAACCAGGATAGCTAGGAGGTGGGTCCAAGTGTTCAGGTTTATACACACAGGTCCAGGTTGCTAGCCTTGGCTATCTAGATCTGTTGTTCACATAAAAATATGTAAATCCCGTTTTGGGTGTCATGTTTAGAGCAGAATCATTCCATAGTATATCTTTTCAAAATCTGGAACTCATTCACAGTGTCTGCTTTCTGCTCTGGAAGTACTGGCACTTCTTCATGAACAGAAAGTCACATAACATCGAAAGTACTAATACTAATCCACCATAGATCTTCAGGATTGCTGTCAGTTTATCTATGTCCATATGTATAGTGTTTTTGGAGCTATGTGTTTAATAATATGATAGAAATGAGTTGGTCAAAAAGTTCATTTCATTTTTTCTGTGAGATGGCTCTAGTAGCACTTAGTGGTGTTTAACTTCATTTGAAACAATTTTGTTAGATTGTATTGTGACAGCTGTCATAAGAGTATGCACTAAAAAAACATCAAAATTAGTGAGCTTGTGTAGCCATTTTAACTAGAATAGAAGTGTATATGTGTAAGTGGAATACTGCTATAACAAAATCTAAAAATGTGTATCAGCTGGGATGAAAAGGAATAGAAATTGTACAAAATGGAGTCCTGTGGACTGCCAGACTACTACAGGGGGAAGCAAGCTTAGAAAACTATTCAGCTGCAGACATGGAAATATGGCTTAGATTTGGAGCCAAGTAACCAGGAGGTAGAATGAGGAGTAATAGAAAGCAACTTCTGTGCTCACTTAGGTGTCATATATACAAAAATTGGAATGATACAGAGAAGATTAGCATGGCCCCTGCACAAGGATGACACGCAAATTCGTGAAGTGTTCCATATTTTTTTAAATGGCCAAACAGAAAAGGATGAAGAAACAAGAATTTTAAAAAATGAGGAGAGGCTTAGAAACCTTCAAGACATCTTTAAATGTTCCAACATCCGAATTTTAGGGGTGCCAGAAGGGGAACAGGAACATCCACCAGTGGAAAACTTATTTGAACAAATAATAAAGGAGAATTTCCCCAATCTGGCAAAGGAAATAGACTTCCAGGAAATCCAGGAAGCTCAGAGAGTCCCAAAGAAGGTAGACCCAAGAAGGAACACACCAAGGCACATCAAAATTACATTAGCTAAGATTAAAATGAAGGAGAGAATTCTAGAAGCAGCAAGAGCTAAGGGGACAGTCACCTACAAAGGAGTTCCCATCAGACTGTCAGCTGATTTCTCAAAAGAGACCTTACAGGCAAAAAGGGGCTGGAAAAAAGTATTCCAAGTCATGAAATCCAAAGACCTACATCCAAGATTGATTTATCCAGCAAAGCTTTCATTTAGAATGGAAGGGCAGATAAAGTGCTTCTCAGATAAGATCAAATTCAAGGAGTTCATCATCACCAAGCCCTTATTATATGAAATGTTAAAGGGACTTATCTAAGAAAAAGAAGATAAAAAAGATGAACGGTGAAAGAACAGCAAACTCACAGTTATTAAGAACCACACCTAAAACAAAAGCAAACTAAGAGGACAGCTAGATCAGGAGCAGAACCATAGAAATGAAGATCACATGGAGGGTTAGCAACAGGGGAGTGGGAGAAGGAGAAGGGGGGAGAAGGTACAGAAAATAAGTAACATAGATGGTAGGTAGAAAATAGATGGGGAGGGCAAGAATAGTGTGGGAAATATAGAATGTAAAGAATTTGAGACACATGGTCATAAACTAAAGGGGGAATGGTGGTGGAGGGGGTGTGCAGGGTGGAGGGGAATGAAGGGGGGAAATAGAACAACTGTAATGGCATAATTAATAAAATATATTTTTTGAAAAAGAAAGCAACTTCTAAGATGTAGGACACAAGAAGGAAATGGCAATATGACTATACTTAGATTTCAGAATTGCTATGGACCAGTGATTGCTGCCTTCTTTCTATTCCCCCCTCTTCTTTTTTGCATTAGTGTTTATACTGGCTATGTTAGGCCTGCTCTCCCCCAATTGTAAATTGGTTATGTCTATAAGATAAATTGTAATAAGAGTTTTCCTATATTGAAGTCAAGATGTACTCAAGGAACTGTATCTAAAGAACCAAATCTGAGGACCTTCATTTATACCTGGACTTGATTTAGAGAATGAGGTCTGATAGGTAAAAGTCCATCATACGGGTTTAGACTTGGAGGATGAGATCAGTGTATTTTGTATGTGGGAAGGATGTTAATTGTGATAGCCAGTGGGCAAATTGTGACAGATTGTATTTTCCAAAGTTAACTATAACAGTATCTCAAATAGCACATGTTCTTCTTAAAATGTGACTTACTTCATGAAGAACTGGAGTTTATATTCCCTCCTATTCAATCTGAGTGGGCTTATAACTATGGAACAACTGATGCTGTTTGAGTTCCAAAGGCTAGAACATAAAAGGTGATAGAGTTTCTATTTCGTGATTATTGGGACAATAATCACAAAATAGATTATCATCCCATATTATGCCACTATATTATAGTGGCTTGGAACCCAGCCACCATACTGTGATGAAGTATGAGCAGGTATATAAAGAGGTCATATGTACCAGCTGAGAGTCTTGGCTTAGATCAGAGCAGACAGTATCAATTGCCAAACATGGGAATGAGTGAGGCTTCAGATGATGTTAGCTGTCTTTTAGTCTTCCCTTCTGAGAACCCAGACAGTATTGGGCAGAGACAATTCATCTTTGATATTTTCCAATTCCTAACCCATAAAATATGTGTGCATAATAAATCAGTTGCTACATGCCATTAAGTTTGAATGGTTTGTTATATTGAAATAGTAACTAGAACAAGACCTAATAGCCAATAGACTTCATTCGTAAATTAGACACTAGCCAGATAGGTAGAGTATACTACAATAGTTCTGGCTGAGGAATTTCATCTCTAGACTTTTGAAGTTGTATTTTTAAAAAAAATTTAGCCTGAACAGTTCATAAAACTCATTGCTGCCTGGATTCAGAATTTGTAAGAGAGCTGTATCGGTGAAATATATTAAATATATGAAATAGGTCAGTGTTCTTCAAGTTTTCTAGCCTCCTAACACACACGAGGAATGAAACCCTTTCTCAATACAGCTGTAGCATTTAGGTATAAGCGCAGGAAGTATGTACCATAATCTCTAGGAGGTAAGAAGAGCTAATGTATGGTTTAAAAGAGCCCCTAATCCCTGGAAATTCTTATGTTTTTTCTCTTTGAGATTAAATGATTGATACACTAACATGCCTCTGAGACCTGAGACAAGATAATTGGTAGGCTTCAATTTCTCAGCAGCCAGGGCCATTGAAAAAGACAAAGGAAACCATTAGAAACAGAATTTATTTTATAAGTGTCCTTGAGTTGCTACATAAGGCTCTGGAGTTTCTTATTGGTTTAAAAGTGGCCCTTTGGTTGATAGATAATTTCAGGGATGCACAAAAATAGTTAGAAGCCCCACAGCACTAATAATGTTATTTCAAGGTGAAGTACAAAAGCTGTCATTAAGTAATACTGGGCTCTTTCTATCAGTGATTCCCCTCCCCTGCAATAACAAGACTGTGTCAAAAGTGCTGAAAAAGTCTAAAGTACTAAGATGAAATTTTAGTTCAATGCACTTACTTTGTAGTTGACTCACATCTATTTGTTTCCTGATGGGAATAAAACTCAGTCTGAGATAAACAAGAGCTAGGATACAGAATAAAAAAGATGATTGTTTGACTTTACCTCTATTTCTTCTAAATCTTTCTTTTCTAACACATTCTGGCATTTTCAAACCAGGTCCACCCTTTTACCCTTACTCCCTCCAATACTGTGTAGCTAATGTCCCATTTTTGTTATATTTTGTCAATCTCAGAATAAAGATTTCTTTGTCCTCTTATCCTAACTTGGGTTTATAATGTAATTTATTTTATTATGAATGCCTCTCATTCCTTTTTATGCAACATTCTTTCTCTTTGCTTTTGACCAAGGTCAATGTCTCTCTAATTTCTGGATTGCTCTATTATCTATTTCACCTATTCAAAGCAACCAGCAAATTTGTAGGAAACCCATAAAGTAACATACAACACTGAAAAAAGCTGCTGGAGCGGGGAAAAGGGGAGAATATGATTGCATCTAAGATTTCTTACTAATATTGAGGGTGGGTAATTGAGATTCTCAGAGAACCAGTGGGTTTATAACAGGGAAGACCTCTGAAATCTGTTTTATTATAAAGAAACTCACTATACCATAAGCTTACCTCAGGTCTGGTGTTTTTGTCAGCTTTGTTTCCTGATATATCCAAGTGTTTACAATAATTCCTAGCATACAATAGGTAACTTAATATAAAAACTTATCAAATTATTCAATGCAATTCCTCTTCTGTCTGGGAAGCAGCCTGATATAGTGGAGAGACATTGAATGTGCATTGATCCTTTATCTGACATCAAATGTTGGAGTTACCTAAGAGTTTAGTTATGGACTACTTCTCATTTTTTAAAAAAATTTATTTTTAATCATATGATATAATAGTTTCAGGTGTACAATATAGTGATTCAACATTTATATATCTTATATTTTATCATCTTATAGACAATGTCTATAACCATCTGCAGTTATTACAATATTACTGACTCCATTCCCTATGCTTCACATTATATCCCCATGGCTTATGTTATAACTGTAAGTTTGTATTTCTTTTTTAAGTATATTTTATTGATAATGCTATTATAGTCGTCCTAATTTTTCCCCACTGCTCCTCTCTGCCCAGTATCCCTATTCCCTCCAGCATTTCCCCCTTTGTTCATATCTTTGGCTTTTCCATTTCCTATACTATTCTTAACCTCCCCCTGTCTATTTTTTACCTACCAATTATGCTTCTTTTTTTCCTGCTCCTTTTTAAAATATTTTATTTACTTATCTTTAGAGGAGAAGGGAAGGAGAGAAGGAGAGAAATATCAATGTACGGTTGCCTCTCATGCATCACCTGCTGAGAACTGGCCCGCAACCCAGGCATGTGCCCTGGCTAGGAATAGAACCGCGATCCTTTGGTTCACAAGCCCATGCTCAATCCACTGAGCTACAACAGCCAGGGCCCAATTATGCTTCTTATTCCCTGTACCTTTTCCCCCACTCCCCCTTCTACCTTCCCACTGATAACTCTCCCTGTGATCTCCATTTCTGTAATTCTGTTCCTGTTCTACCTCTTTGTTTAGTTCATTTTTGTTTGTTTGTTTAGATTCAGTTGTTGATAGTTGTGAATTGGTTGCTTTTTTAATGTTCATGTTTTTGATCTCCTTTTTCTTCAATAAGTCCCTTTAACATTTTATATAATAATGGTTTGGTGATGATGAACTCTTCTAAATTTATATTATTTCTTCAACTGTTTACCATCTACTCCCATGGCTTTAATTACCATCAGTAAGCTGATGATGCCCATATTTGTATTTCTACCTCCATTTCTATATATTTAATTACCTACTTGACATCTCTGCTTGAATGACTCAAAGGCATTTCAGTCTCATATTTAAAATTGAACCCATTTTCTGTTTCCCACATCAGCCACTGAGATAAGTTGAATCAATCCTGCTGTGGTATACACAATATAGATTGAGCCTAATGTTAGCCTTTTTAAGTCCTAGAATATTATTTCCAGTAGCAGACTGATGATATATCCATAACAGAACACCATTTAGTTACCTTATATACACTTGTTCAGCAGAATTAGAAACAAAGAGAAACAAAAACAACTTCCAATCTCTATTTCTTCCTCCTGGCTATCATCCTAGAAAATTCCATGTTTAAGATCTGAGCTCACTTAATTTTGAGTTTCAGAACTATTTAAGTATTGAGAAGTACAATTAGGGTTTGAGAAGGAAT